CGAAGCAGACCAAGGAAGCCTTTTCCCCTTTTTTTCAGCTTGGCTGCCGAGAGCTCTGATGTAATCATGCAGATCACACACACCCAAAATTTTGTTGACAGCGATAAAGGACTGATCCTTTTCTTTCCCTGTTACCTTTCTCTCGTGCATCTGTGTATCCATGTACCCTTTGCGGAGCTTAAGATAAGTGCTTTGAGTCTTACAGTTGTGTCTTCTCCATTTAACAGAGCAACAGGAAAAGTGCAGACAGTACAGCGGCAGGGACACGATGTGAGGTTACTGCATTTGACGACATGGGCTGACTCCTCTGACATGCACAGCTGCGACACATGCCCCCCCCCCCCCCCCTTCTTAGGAAATCTTTTGCACTTATTGTAAGTTTTACTTTCTGGATATAGAGTTGCATTACACATCATGGTGTTTTGTATGTGTACAGAGGTTCCAGTGCCTATGAGAATCTTTTTGAAGTTGTGAGTCATAATAATGGGCAATTAAATAACTGTTCTTGTATGTGAAATTCACCAGGATTACGTATGAGAAAAAGAGATTTTTTTTCCTTTTTAAAAAAACTGTTGATACATTCATTTAATGCTAGTGCAAAACACATATACAGATTCAGACATATGTAAACACGTTAAGAACTATTATCATCGAGTGTGAAAAAAGCTGTCTTTTATCCAATAAAGTAGTGATCCAGGAGAAACAGAAAAAAACCTGCAAAGAATTATTTTTCAGTAACTTTAACACAGCTTTCTGTTTAAATGCTTCCCTATGATTCTAACGGTTAATAGCTGTAAATGAAGTTGTGTGAAATAGTGCGAAGGTGCTTTTATGTTGCTGCCCATCTGGGAGCTAATGATTAATTGATTACATTTTTCATTTTACTCCTGTCTCTGTAATTGATTCTGAGAGTGCGTTTCATGTCTCTTTATCACTCTTGGCTGCATCTTTGAGATTCATTCAGTCCTCAGTTTAAAAGGCTTATGTAACAGATCTCATTCAAGTTTGTGCTTTTGGTTTGGGAATACAAGCTGTTCTTCAGACAGCTGATTGTCCTGTCTTAGATCTTCTGTGCTTAATCACAAATGATTTAAACTATTTATTCACTGGTGTCATACAGTAGTATTATATGTGTGAATTTCAATAAACAGCTCTCTGGTAAAATCTGCAGTTGCTTAGTTGATGTTTAATGTTTAAATGATTTATAAAATTGAACTCAGGTCAAAAAGAGATGTGCTGATCTGTGTATGCATCCCTAGTGAATCACAGAGATGACCAGCAGCTTACATAACAATTAACAGTCATTGCATTAGTAAAATAATCAGTGCACAAAGACTATCACACCAGATTACCCTGGAAAGCTGAACCAAAAGGTGGTATTTGAGACCTTTGCATGATTACTGCTAAACCTCTTGCAAATTTTGTATGTATGATTTTATAAGTTCAATATTAAAAAAAGAAATTAACTACCTCCCAGCTTTAGTACTTCCCACACACGTTCATCCACATTTTCCCTGGCTGAGGCTCAGGAGGTGGAGCAGATTGTCCACTAAAGGTTGGGAGTTCAGTGGCTGGCTGCTCCAGTCTACATGCCAAAGTATCGTGGGCCAAAACATTGACCCCCAGGTTGCTTCTGATGCGTTCGTCAGAGTGTGAATTGTGAAGTGCTATATAAGAAGCAGTCCACTTACTATTTACAAACACACTCCCGCATTTAGTTTGTTGGGATCTACTCATCTCAACTTCATCCCAACCCTTGGAAACAGAACTCTCGAGTCTTTTTTGGACACCAGTTTAAAAAACAGTCGGCTCAATCACACAGAAAAACACAAATATTATCACAAGTGTGTAAAACGGTGTGACCACAGACTACAAGACTCAAGAAATTCATCTCATACCAATTCAAAACTACAGCAACCTCAAGGCATTTTATATTGTAAAGTAAAGATCCTACAATATTAGATTAGATTAGAGATTAGATAGAACTTTATTAATCCCTCGGGTGGGTTCCTCTGGGAAATTCGATTTCCAAAAAAGCACAGCACCGACAGA